AGATGTATTCATAAGTAACTTTATAACCGTACATTGTAGGAATAACAGGGATTTATAACTGTATCAAACACCTCAAAGTAACGTTCACCAAAGCAATTTATTGTTATAAGTTGAAAAAAATGAATCTTTTTAGAAAACTATTTGCAATTAACAAGCTATTTAAAATTAACAATTGCACGTCACGTAAAATAACATTATTGACATCTGTCATTAGCAAAGTAATTTAGATGCTGGTCTAAAAAGTTAATAATTAATGCAACCGTCACCCAGTTCTACCTTTATAAAAATGCCAATCGTAAACAAGTTTGCAATCAATCACAAGTTTGTTACAAAACTGTATTGATTCTTGATCAAAAGCCCATCCTTTGTAATAACTACAAACCAGATTTTGAGCAAGTTTACTTAAAATTTACATTAAAATCACACAAAAATAAAAAAAACTGGCTAAAATTCGAGTTCATTGTATGCGATTGATTCGTAACGGCCGAGTGCGCAATAATGGGAATGAAATATTCACAATTTTTATAATTTCGGTGGCGCTCGCGCACATCTGTCGCTCACACGGAAGGGATCCAATCTCCATTGTGCAAAACAATAATCACATGTAAGGTAATACTGTTTCTGTTAAAATTAATTGGTGTGCAAACCACCTTGGTAACGAATAGTATCTAATATTTTCGGTAAACTAACTAAAACAAAAAGTAGCTCAATAAAAACAAAAAAGAAGCCTAACAAAAATGTTTAGTGTAATTGTGTACACTTTCAATAGTAATAGTCGAAGTGACCTCGGCTTTTTATGGCCTCGGTGATTTTTCTTCGGCAGCCGTCCTATTGTCGCCGTGCTGCAAAAACTTCTGCAAGGATTTATCTTGCAAACAATGGATTGGCATTAGGCTGTAAAGCCGTTGCCTCAATTTGCGAAACTGGACCGAAGCCCTTTTGTTTCAGATAACAGCGCAATAGGACAAATTACTTGCGCATGTCGGAACACTTTGTTCGGCGGACCCTTTGGCAACTTTCGCTTTTAATGTTTGCTTTATATCACCAATATTATGAGGTAACTCTTTTGTCGTTCTTGTCTCACGCTATTATGACTAAGAATCTCTAACGCGGTTTCCTTTCGGCTAGAGAGATCAAGCAAAAATATTCAAGAAAAAATGTTTTAATAATTATAGATGATAAAATGTCACATTTATCCGCTAGAATCTTTTTGGAGATAGTTAAGACAGTGAGACTACGACGTACCTATTCATAATGTACCTACTCACGATGATACGAGTACATATGTACCTATCTACTTAAGATCATCATATTCGGGTTAAAAATGTACATTAAGAATAGGTATGTCATCTCTATACATTACTACGTGTAGATATAAACCTTGTACCTTGATATACGACTTTTTATTATTTTGTTTTCCTTTTCATTTATTTGAAATATAATAAATGAAAATGTAATTTCTGTTAATAAATTTAATAACCAGAATAAACTCAAATTTCGGCGAATTATAAGTATTCGTTACCAACTGACTTTCACAACAAAAACCACAAATTGTAAGGGTGGTCTTATAGAGCAACTACTTCGCAGCGAGAATGAATTTCTTTGTCAATATTGCACGGAACAACCTAAACAATTGGTGTGCGAATAACCCGCGAAATAATGAAAGTAAAAGTGTTTGACGAATTTTATGAGTTCCTTTTTCTCTTAGAGGCGAAGTGATGCGTCCTTGAATTCTCTTGGGCAAGGCTTAATTGTGGTTTCACGTCTTCAAAGAGTTGGCTTCTTTGAAGAGGCGGAGGTCGAGATGCGGGGGTGCGAGGGCGCGGGTGTTCTCACAAAACAAAGAAAGCATTCACTTTCGCTACAAGCAAAACTCCGAACTGGTATTGTGGTTTAACTAAACAAAAAAGTAAAAGAAAATGTGTTGATGAACTGTTAGACCATCGTTACCTTACGTAGGTACAGTAAACTGAAAAGTCATGAGAGCTACCTAATATTATGTAATTTATGAATTTGCCAAATTAAAAAGAAACCATTTGAAAAATCTGTTGCTCTTTACACACACACACATACACACAAACACTTAATTTGCCAAAGAATATAAATTACATACTGCAGTCATTAGCTAAAAATAAAAGAGTAACTAACATACATAAATCAATTAGGCCAAAACGATACAATCTGTAAAGGGAATATTTTACTAAGTCGAATTTTGTCCTTTGTGGATTTGGCCTTAATTAACAACATATTAGGAAGGATAGGTGTATTGATATTAGATAAGTTCTTATGCACCTGTCTTGTTGGCAAACTTTGTTTATCTACGAATTCTGAGGACAAAGATCTTACTGTTGCCTAATTTATAGATATGAACTGAAATAAAGCGCCCTCAACTTGCAGGCAAGGTGCGACGGCGTGTGCGAGATAACAAACTAAACATCCTGTCGAACGAGGATGATGCACTGTAACAGAACGAGACGGGAACTTAGTTTTTTATCTAAAATTTCCTTGCACTTTCTTATTTTAACAAAAACGTGCTCTATCTCAATATATATAAGGTGAAATTTTCCAAAACCATTAGCAGGCACGCGACAGCAGCAGGTGGGAGCAATGCTCTTAAAAAACTAACATTATTTTTTAGCGTGCTTTGTTAAAAAACAGTGCTGTTTCCTCCTTTAATAAGCTTTTTGTTTGATTTATTATTTTAAATTTATAATGCTTACTGTAAACTTTTGCAGTGACTCATAATAACCAAAAGTAAATAAAAATTCTACATTTTTTATTTCTGATATTATTAATATTGTAATCATATAATTATGGTACAAAATTTTTTAAAATTATTTTCCGTTATGGGGTTGACTCCACATAACGTAAAAAATACATGTACTAATAATGACCATTTATAGTAATCATGTAGATTGTTTTTATGATGTAAAGTTAAAGTGTTTTCTAAATTTAATATCATAAAAATTTTCTTTCCCAAAATATTTTTTCTGTATTCTTTACTTTTTAGTAAATACTACATTTTTTTTAACTTGTAAATATTCTTAACTGAATATCAAGCACATTCTAATAATAGCGTCATTACAGTACAACTTATGTATTTCTTGTGTAGGGTAAAAACTTATCAGACACTCGGCTCCTACATATATTGTGGGGAGGGAGACTCGTGCTTCAGTAAAAATAGTAAAACTGGTAAAAATAACGCGTGTGCCGGCTGTCGCTATAAAGTCGCTTAATTTACGCAAGGCGCGTCCTACAGCGACACTTATGCTCTTTATGCGTGTTGTCTTTGAACCAATAATTGCCCTGCAGCCGCTTGAAGGCCACATCCAACGCCAGTTCTGTCACATTCACTAATCAATTTTATTTTAATCACTCCAACTTGTCCCTTAAACTGATATAACGACATTTATAATCAAAATTGTCGTATAACCTCAGTATATAAATCTGTATTAATAATTACCAGTTGTACCTGTATAAAAACGATAACCACTTTTTATTACGCTATTAGACAATTTGAGACTAATAACTTAAGTACTTATATACTTCTAATGAGTAAGGAATACTCGTTATGTTTTAGCAGAATCAATATAAATTACTGTCATTAACATAAAGGTTTAACTATTTAATTATTGCGAGTTTCCGATTTTTAATTTTACCATTAGGTAATATTATAAATATAAAATTTTCATCTATGCGTATATAATAATAGCTTCTTCGTCTTGAGGTGCCATCTCCTACCGGAGGTCGGCTATCATTAGGGTTATCTGTAATTTGGACACAGCTGCACGGAACAAGGATCTTGTGCTCACGTTGAACCATGTCCGGAGATTCTTAAGCCATGAAGTACGCCTTCTTCCAGGTGGTCGCTTCTCCTGTATCTTCCCTTGCATAATTAGTAGGAGTAGGTCATATTTATCATTACGAATTATATGACCAAAGTACTGCAGTTTGCGTTTTTTGACAGTGCTCAAGACCTCTAATTTCTTATTCACCATCTGCAATACTCTTTCTTTGGACACTCTATCCCTCCACGATATTTTTAAAATTCTTTTGTAGACCCACATTTCAAAGGTTTCTAAGCTGGTATGTATAATATATATATATATATATATATATATATATATATATAATAACTTCATTTCACAATCGGGTGTCTAGGTGCGCGGATGGTATTATTTTTTTTTGTTCAATATTTTTACTCCCTAGCACAAACACGTAGTTTTTCGTCTTCCTAACCTTCATATTATTTTATTTTCAACTTTATCACTTAAAGTATAATAAATTAAGATGTTTATGAACAGTTACATTTTTTAACTGTTGGTTACACACATTTTAAAAGTGATTCTACTTCTCGCTCATATTGGTATTTCTTAATACCTATTTGCGATTTCATGTCTGGACTTCGCATTACATTAATACATTGTATGAAATATAATGGGTATTTCAACATTTTAACAGCTTCAATTATACTGTCTGACCTTACTTCGTTAAGTTTCACGCACGAAGTTTACTTTTTGGAATTAAGTAAGTCTAGGTTACTACTTTTTGTTCCTTTCCAAGTTATATTATTCATCCCATGTATACAGTACTTAATTAAATCTAGGGTTGGCTTAAGAATTTTAAAACAAAAATTTTCGAAGTACAAGAGAAGTACTACTACATAATAATATCTCAATTTAGCTTCCAAGATGCAGTGAGAGCCGAACGGTAGCCGGTTATAAAAAAGTGCTTATGTGGCGCTGGGCGGCTAAAAACGCAGGAAGGAACATAATGTAGTAGCAGCCATAAAAAGCGAATGCACTGCGTGCACGTGCAGCAGCAGGGCGGAGCGCAGACCGCGGGCGCGGGCGGGGTGGGGCGTGGGGTGTGTTTACCGCGCGGAGGGGCGGCTGTCGCATGGTACGCGCCGCGCCGCTGCCAGTGTTGTGGTAGGTCACATAGAGCGCGCCCGCACTGCGTCCGATCATCATTCACAATCGAGACTCCGCGCCAACCGAACATGTCATCAACTCTTCGCAATCAATAACTTTTATTAAATCACTCGTTCATTAACAAATCTATCTAAAGTGCTAATACTATTCAAAAGGACTCTCGAAGCCAGTGCAGATAAATGCATTTACCGTGAAGCCGATGTGAAATGGCCTTATCGCTGCAATCGACGCAAAATTCCAGAGGTTCGTGTCAGTTTCTGGTATAGCGCTTCGCTGTCTCTGCGGTCCGCTGAATCTGAAGAAAGTGCATGCGTGTAAAAGTTTCAAAAGTTAGCGCCGCGCCATGCGTGTAGCGAGCGCCGCGATTGGCCGCCGGCAGCGAGCGTCCCGCACACATGTTTATTTGCATTCGGAGCTTTGCAGATTCAGTGAACCGTAGGCGGCAGCGAGCGTGTAGCGGCGTGCTACGACTTCGCGAGATCGCGCGGCGCGTAGCATGCAATAACGAATTTTGATATAGATTACAGTGATTGGTAATGGATAAAACAAAATTTTAATTAACTTGACATAGACATGCAAAAAAATTACACACACATGCAAAGAAAAAAATAACCACGTAAGTTTATTTGCATTAATTTGTCTTGTAAACTACTGTAAAGCTTTTAGACCAATAAATTAACATTTGTATTTTTTGTAGTTTTAAGTAATATATCGAGTCTTATCTTTTTGTTGATAACAGAGCCGTAATTGAAGAATAATATTACTAATTTTGACGTTCGTAAACAAACAAAAGATTTTCAACGGATTTTATTTTACATCATGCATGTGTGATATGAACAAATTCATAAAGATCTATTTCATTCTTCATTGAAAATGAAGAGTAGCATGTCAGCAAATAAATACCATTTACAATCCAAAATATTTTATTTTATTTATATCGATGTGTTATACATTTTAAACAAAGTTTTAATTGTGGAATTCACACAACAACTGTGTAATATTTCTTTTTAATTCATAATATAATAGCAACTTATTAAATTGTTATTGTTGTTTGTTAATTTAATATAAGCTTTTGAATACGGAATGAACTGATGACTTAAAATTACGTGTGCATTACCGGGTGGTAAAATTTAATTTCGGCTGCAAATGTTTATAATAAGTTGTATGTAATTATAGTAGTACTGACATGGTTTTTAAATAGGCCCTGGCGAAAAGAATCCAAGATAGAGATCTTACTACGTAGACATGTAGCTCTCACAGTTAACGGCACCAGGATCTTCAAAATGTTCTAATTTTTTAAATTGTTGTAATCTCAATAGATTAAATTAAATAAAAATTACACTTGATACCAATGTATCAAGTGTAATTATTATTAATACCTATATTATTTCTCTTTCTGTTTAATTATAACTCAAATTAAATTATGTATAAATTCAGTAATTTGTTGTATATATTTTATTTCGTAGTTAGATTCTTCATAAATTTACTTTGCCCCAAGTTAAACAAATTACGGAGTTTCTCATTGGTCAGAGTGAGGGTCAGACTGGTCTGACCACTTCAGTAACAAATAAAGCATTATAATAATGAAATGACGTTCATATTGAGAAACCATGATGCGTACTCGTATGTTCTCTCAAAACACGTTTCTAATGCCTTGGTATGTAACGAATGACCTATACAAAGTGTAAAATCACTAAAGAATCACAACCTTTAAAATAAGAACATTCAACACGTGTCGCAAAGTGCGCACTTCCAAGGCAAAGGAATTTATCTGTCAAACTTGTAATATATTAGGAGCCAATCATGGAAGCCTCACATGTTCAGCCCGTGTACGTTAACCCTACACCGAAACCGTAGCAGTAACCAGTAGCTAGAACAATCTGTGCGTACCTCGAGTTTACGCTACGGTCGTGGCCGCCCGGCCTGCCTTGAGTTTAATCTTATTACAATGGAAAATTAGGACATCGCGGTTAACCTGTTTTACGGGCATAACATCTTCAGGTGGTGTTTTAGAAAAACAGTTCTTTAATTTTCATTAAAAACACCTTTTTCTTCCTAGCATACTTATTATCAAGAAAAATATAACTTAGATGAAACAAAGTACTTTCCACAAACAAGGATATCTTAAAAACGAAATAATTTTTTTTAGCGTATCTTAAAAGTTTAGTGTTAAGGTACAACATTTTTCGTAAATGATTTTTACGAGACTTTTAAAGACTTAGACTTTTAAACTTTACTATCAGAAAAAGTATTATTAGCCCATAAACGTTAAAATACAGGAACTAAACCGCATACTCTCAACAATAAGGATGTCGTTGTCGCTTATCGGCAAACCCTTGCGTAATAATGAGTTATGGAGTGGCGGCCGCGGGCGAGTCCATAAACACATTCACTATAGGTTATTGACAAATATTTATGGCGTATAAAGAGGGGATAATTATAACTCTTTAGCACATAAAAAGCGAGAGCGGAAGGGTGCGCCGCTGTAAAAATTTATCACCTATATTGTCACCCGGCGGCCAATAAAATGACACATTATGTTACTAGCTTAGTGTTATGCGTGGCTATGCTTTATGTTTTTTTTTCTATTACTATTAAGAAGATGGATATTACTATAGGCACAACATTGAATACTGACACGTCCAACACCTTCTTTTTATAATAGATTAATAGTAAAATTTTTAATCTACAAACATGGAGTTTGAATCAAAAATTTCTTCTCATATTGCCAACACTTTTCCGTATAACGTTATAAAACACCTTTTAAGTTACATTACAAAAAAAAATGTACAAGAGTTTGTTTCGAAAAAGGTTAAATTAAATCATGTAAACCGTTTTACCAAACATCGGGTAAAAAGATGTACTGTCCTGCCACTCCACATTGAACACGTAAGAAAATATATTCCCTTAGTCGCTTACTACCCAATATACGATTAGGTTACAAACATAGCGATTCCTTTTAAATTACAAGCTTATTAACGAAAGCTATTAATATTATATTATTAATCGTATATATATTACTATTAACATATACATCATTAAGGTATACTTTCCCTTACTTACCTATACGATTTACCTAGCAATTATTATGGATTATATATCTTGATGATAAACTGTTGTTACAATGACGATAAAATAATTTTTAACATGGTTTCATAAAGATAAATAAATTGTATAAAATAATACATAGTATACTAGCAGTAGAGCTCCTTTGAAGGAGTTCGTCTAGGAAGTACTGGCACCTTATCTTTTTCTGCCGCCAAGCAGTAATGTCAGCATTACTGTGTTCCGGTTTTGAAGGGCAAGGGTGCTGGTGCAATTACAGGCACATAGGGCTTGTCAATTTATATGTCAGGGTAACGGGCACAGTGTCAGTGCCCCTCAGATCTTTGCGATTTAAAGCTCGTGAGTGGCACTGCAACTGTTATGGACAGGCGTGTAACTGACCGTCAGGCGCATGACTTGTTCGTCCCGTCACTTGATATTATAAAAAAACATACAAAATTATAAATACTAACTGGTACGGTTCTGAAAACAACGAAATTTATAACAAAAATCCGTCCTAAGGGAAAGCTTTAATACAGGCATCTGTCGATGTTAAATCTCGTCGTAGCCTGAAGGGCTGTATTTACTTGTTTAAACTTTTACATTAGGTCTGGTATTATAATTCTGAGCAGATCACGAGTACGGCTCACTGTTCGTCCTCGAAACGAGAGGAATGTTATTAAAAAGTTATGGGATAAGCCGGTACGTGCTGCTCGCGACGCCTCCCCTAATCACAAACTTTAAAATTATCTTAGACTACTTTTATAATATCATCCGCGCCCTCAATACTTAATTAAGTCCATTATGTCTCCGTAATATAATAATATAGCTACACAAATATATAATACAAATAACGAAATTGTTTCGTTTAGACAATTTAAGTTAAAAACAACAAAGATAAGAATAGGTAAAGAGGCCCAGAGGCACTCGCAGAAGGCAAAATATTATGCCTCCTTCAATTAAGCACGGCTGAGTCGAAGCGGGCCCGGAATTAATTCCGTGGCTAAGTAGATAATGTAGGAGCTTCCCTCCGCCGCCTCTTCACGCCTCGAGGAGAACTTTCAATTATGATTTTGTCTAATTTTAATTAAGTGCTCTCAAAAAGGCTTTTCTTCGTCGAAATTAATATTTGAATATAATTTGGGTGGAGCGGGCGGGCGGAGTTTGCCGCTGAAGGAATAATTAATTCCATTATATGGGTAAGTGGTTCGTCCCTCGGCCACCCGTGCCTCCCCGTGCACTGCCACCGTTACCACTATTGGCTAACACTCTTCTCGTCACTTTATTGCGTGTCAATTTAAACACAGTTACCAAATAAAAGTTTTGCGTCACCCATCAATCTAGAAATACTACCGGCGAAAATACAAACAAAGAAATGGAAACTAATTGGAAATAGAACTGAGCGGGTAAGGTTCGCGGTGGCAATTTGCGCAACAGGTCGGGGCGGAAGCGACCTGCAGTGGCGTGATTGCGACCAAATGTTTCCTCCACAGCGTCTGGCACGCACTTTTTGCTTTATTTTTTGCTTGTCTCTTGATAAGTACGCTATCGATAGGTTCCAAAACGTGTTTGTTTAGGCCGAAAGTAACCCATGGCGGAAATGATCGAAAGACTCTATCCGTTTTATTTTAAAATATGTGATGTAAATAAGTTGAAATTACTGCTTAATGTTAAACGTCTCAAATTGCGGAAAATCCGTTGATAAATTTAATATACGTAATTATTTTGGTGCAGGTGTCTCGGTAAGGCCGCTGTCAGCCATGCGTCAAGAGTCGCTACCGATGCTGGCGGAGCGGCTTCTGGCGACGCGCGCTGCCGCGCTGGTGGCGGGGCTGCCGGCTGAGCTGTACTCAGGCGCTCTGCTGGCTGCGTGGCCGCCGTCACCGCCTGCGCCACTCCTTCCGCCACCAGAAATGGAGCGTGCACGCAAACGCCGCCGGACTCCGAAGTTGGATGACCCGCCCGCGCCTCCTTCACCACCCTCTTCGGGTTCTTCGCCCGGAGCCGCTGATCCGCCACGAGATAAACTTTTCACATGTAAAGTGTGCTCCCGCTCATTCGGTTACAAGCACGTTCTACAAAATCATGAACGAACCCACACCGGGGAAAAACCATTCGAGTGTGGTGAATGCCACAAGCGATTCACGCGCGACCACCATCTCAAGACACATCTTCGTCTTCACACTGGGGAAAAGCCATACAGCTGCCCTCATTGCCCGCGGCACTTCGTTCAAGTCGCCAATCTACGCCGCCATTTACGCGTGCACACTGGCGAGCGGCCTTATGCGTGCTCGCGATGTCCAGCACGTTTTTCCGATTCTAACCAGTTGAAAGCACATGCTCTGGTGCACGAAGGAGATGCACCATTTGCATGTCGATGTGGGGCCCGGTTTCGTCGGCGACAGGCTGCAGCGCTTCATCGATGCGCTGGCACTGGCTGCGAGCCAGACACACCGAGCCCGCCAGCAGCGTCAGCGCCTGATTGGCGCTGGGACGAATGGCCTGAGCAGACCGAGCCCGAAGACCTGTCGCTGCCGCGAAGACCGGCCACGCCGGACTCGCCCACCGACCTGCGCGTACACTCCGCGTAGTGGGCGCGTATCACGCGCCGCTGAGCCGGTATACGAGTTCCTCCTGCGTAGACCCCGCGCACCCGACGACGTCTGCTGATGCCAGCACTCGCCCCTTCTCTCGCTCGAGCTCCTGGTTACACGACGACAACTACACGTTTGAAAATTCCAAATAAGTATTTCTTATGAAACAATATTTATTGCTCTACAAAATGTTGTCATCGCAACGGGCATCTTTATCGGTCTTCGTTTTTTGCGCTTCTCAGTAACACTATCGATGTAGTCCATTTAGGTAGTCATCTATTCAATTTTTTACATTTTGCATTTGCAACGTCCGCCATAAAAACACTTTTTGCTTAGTATTACTGTTTAAAACTTTATTGTACTGCCATTTGCATAATCTCGAAGTGTAAAGAAAAAACGCGACCTTTCTATTTCATTGTACTGCACATTGCAAAAACACAGTAATTGCACAAAAGATACTTGTTGATTTATTGGGTGGCCATTGTTTCGTGATATTAACTAAAAATGGGCCCGTTTTGGTTGAACGCATCGATCTAGAGCGTCCTCCTGCGCAGCGCCGACTACCACTGGCTACCGGAATGTGAACGAGTAAAAGGCCGCGACATTGGCTTATTATTTCAGCAACAAAAGCTAGTTCACAATCGGTAATTATTAAGTATTGATTTGCCAGCCAGTTCCGGTTCGCAGACAAAGCGCGACTATTGTGTACGCCCAGATCCGTTGCTACAACCGGTTGCTAATCACCCTTATTATCCTCAATTCTCATATCGAGCTTTTTTAAAATTTTACCCGTTTTATATTAATTTAACGCACTTTTCTATCGAAAAACCGATACCCATTTCGCATCATATGATATAGGGGATGCTTGTTCGGAACTATCGGAGCTAGTTGCCGGATTACGAGACAGCCCGAGCGGGCGGCGTGGTGGGCAGTGTGGAGCACAGCGCGCCGAGCGAGCGCTAAGCTTCTGTACATATTGCTGTTTCTATAAATTATTTATTATTTATCGATTAGTTTGTAGGAACTACTTCTTTTGCGGAATCTCATCATAATTAAAACGATTACTGTTCATAGTGTATGTACATATTTTTATGTATCATCTTACAAAGACCGTGTCGTGGACGATTGGGTACTGATACGAGTAGTCTAGTAGATACCCAACCATTTCATAGTGAGCTGTGAGATAATCAGAATTATTCTATGTAATGAAATTTCCATATTAGGTCATGTACACCTAGAATTTATAATCATACTTTTATAAATAGTATTAGGGTGTAGTCAGTCAACATCACTTCGGATATTGTATATAAGTTAGTCTCAACATGCAGTTTAATTCTTTGTGCACATGACCTACGAGTTGTTTAGATTAAGAAACCTTTAACCACTACAATGTGGTTGCAATTTGTTCTACGGGTATTAGTTTCCTACTAGATGTAGTATGTTTATTTTTGCGTTTTGATTTGATTTTAAACAATAATTGTTCTGAATGTTTAGCGCACATGATAAATGTATGTACGTATTTAATTATTACTACTAATTGTTGATTATTATTATTTTATTTTTTCCCCTTAGTCGTAAGTTTTCTTGGTAGTATCTTGATGTAAATTAAATTTAGGTAAACGTATGAGATATTTTTTCCAAAGAAATTATTGGTACAAAAATTGATGTGTACAAATTCGGTAGTAATTTTCGATTAGGATTCGTAATTTCATGTTGCAATGTTGTAATGTATATGGTAGTTAGCGTAAAGTTGAGAAGTTGGTGCCATTATCTACCTCACTAGACGACGGTGACAGCGCCAGGGTACAGAGCCAAAGTTCTTGGAATATTTTCTATTGTTTATCGCTGCTAAGATAATGTACAAAGCAACGATTGGATCATACCTGACGGTCTAACCATTTGAGACTGATTTTTATTCTATTGTTTCATTTAATCGCATTGTATACCAAACCTTTATCGTCGTATATACTGGTTTCCCATTACGTTTTGCGACATGCCTATTTAATGACTGGTCAGTAAAAATTTTTAGTATTTAATAAATGTGTAGTATCACATTATAGCCTTGATTTGCAATTTATTTGAGTTCCTATTTTCATTAATGATCATTAAAATTGTTTTAATGGAGAAATTTTGTTTATATTCATTAGTTAGTAAATGTATAATAGCTGTCCGTGCCATTACGTTTACGTTTACCAAATAATTTTATGTAATTTAGAACTAAAATGTGATGAGATAATATTTTTGAATTACACGAAAACTGCCGTTAACAAATCTACCTCATTGTGTAATACTTACAGGTGTTATTTATAACACATTTTTAAACAACTAACAATCCATTTTCGAGATATTGTACAAATTAATATAAGAATTATAGATGTGACATTAATATGGTACGATGAATATGATATGTATTTCTTTATCAATGTCCAGTACATTATTATTAAAATAAAGAGATGTTTGTTATTTATAACTGTTTGTTGTTTTATTTACCTTTAGTTTTCAAATTCAACGAAATTAATGCTCTTTTTACAATGACCAGATTACAACTTAGGGTGAGGCCAGACGATCGTAATTTTGTGAGTTGTGGTTGCGTTATTTGAGTTGCGTAATTTATGTTGCATTCGGTTTCATATAAAAGTCCGGTTTGTTCCACACGATGCCTCAAAATGAGTTGTCCGCCGACTCGCGCGCGTCATTACAACTGAATTTCAGTCGCACAGTGCAACGTGCTGGTGTGGGTGGAGAAAGGGGTGAGGGAAATGGTCGCTTTGGTATTGGATGCGCGTGAGTAGAAATGTTTCTTGTTCCATTACACCATATGACACAAACACTCCGTACAAACGTATAAAACTGAATAAAATACGTTCATCTGGCGCCTCAAACGAATTTCCGTCTGACGTAAACTACGCAACTCACAACTCACAAAATTACGCTCGTCTGGCCTCACCCTTACAGTCACTGTCAGTACAGTCAGACTGAGTTTAGATAATTTTGAAAATCTTTAGATAAAAATTTTTTATTCACGGTTGCATCAAACTATACTTTTCAATATTAAATACAAAATGTAAATAAAAGCTCAAATAACGACGTAAGGTACCAGTGAAAGGGTGTATACATTTCTTTAGTGTTTCACTTATTATCTAAAATGAATCACAAATGATTTTTGTTAAAAACACCATAAAGGTAATCAAGATAAACAAACATATCTGATAAAGATATCATTCCCAAGGGTTAACTGGCAGTAATGTACAGACATAATTTATCTAAGATCGGCAGTAAGTAATGAGTTGTCGCACCGACACACTTTGAAATCTCTCCCTCATATACACATACGACACATACTAATACAACTGCCCTTGGTTAGGGGTGATGTTTTAGAAACGTAGCGATTTCTATACATTTAAGTTGTTCCTCACTTTCCGCAATAATTAATGTACGTTATTCAGATGTTGTATTATCCGGTATAGTTTTATTAGTAATTGAGTTATAAACTTTGACATGACGGCTTTATATACTGTATATTCGTTAAAGGCGTATTTTTTTCATAATTTCCCTGCCGTAGTATTTTTCTCCCATTATAACAATAACCGATGACACAACGTGATAACGAACTGGTCTATAGGACACCTTGTAGCTAATAACCGTGTTCCCTCAAATGTTAGACACTTTTCATAAGCTAATAGTGCTTAATACAGGAATAATTCATAATTTGACCATATAACATAAATAAAACTGTATAACGCACCTTTTTTTTTAAACTTGAATAAAATACGTACCTACGTCAGATACGTACACAATGAGTAAAATTATTTTAAAGTATAATACGATAAGACTAAATTTCACCTTTATTGGATTTTGGAGACGTAAAAAAATATCAGTTAATAACTGTGTGTGTACCTAAGTCTGTCGGGTATTTGTCAATCTATGGGTGTAGGAAAAGAGAGATGCTATGATGTATACACATCCTTCATATGAATTCTAGAGTCATTCTCATCTTCTTATTGCGTTCCTAGAAAACGCCCTAACTTTTCCTGAATAATTTTAAGAGTTTTAAATGGCGTTTACTTCAGCACAAATATCTAAAGCACAAAATTTTCCGTCACTAACTATTCTCTTCCCACATTTGAAGACGTGAGAGACTACCCACTTTTCACGTCTAATGTCCAGGCTTATGCACACCCTGTCTCAAGGAGAATTCTTCTGAACTTTGCCGCGCACTTATTTTTGTAGTAATTCCTTATTATTGCACAATTTCACATCACAATTCAGAGAATATCTCATTGTTTCTGTATTTTGATGTGACAGATCTTTTATTTTATAGTCTAATCGTCCATAAAATATCTAATAATACACGACTGTAAGGTATAGAGACAAATGAAACCACAGGGCGTTGATGCAAGATAGATTTATTAAGTAAATTAGATGCATATTACAAATTATGATTGGTAAAATGACTCATAGACCTCACGACTTTTTGCATAAAAAGTGTTTTCGCTCCTAACCGGTCAGTTTTCGGCCTCTTATAAGTAAGAGAAAACAAACGAGCATTTACAGCTTACTTTAAATTTAGATGCCCGATTGTTAATTTCGAATTTATTCATTCACTTTTTAAATGGTCCCTGTATCAGTCGCCGTATGCGACCATAAACTAAATGCAAGTGCCAGTTTACCCGTGGTCTTACGTGAAGTTACGTTGGCGGGAGCGTCTTATCGCCTAATGCTTCGAGGTCCGAAGCCGCCTCATTATAATGCTCTACCTAACATCATACGGCTTTCTTTATGTGCTTATCGTGAGAAACGTAGAAACGTGTGTGTGTGTGTGTGTGTGTGTGTGTGTGTGTGTGTGTGTGTGTGTGTGTGTGTG